GAGGGGGATGGGGAGTTTTAAAATATTGTTGAAATATTAGAGGAAGTGGAGTCGCGCCCTCGACACAATTTTTATGCTGTTGAGTTTTGTGTATCGCGTGCCACTGCTCTTACAATGTTCAGTTACCTCTCGGTTTTTATGATTTTACCTCTCTTATTCCATGTCTCTGGGTGGTATTACATGAGGGATATTACAGGGATGGGGGATTATGGGACTCTTGTGGGGTGTAATCATCTGACAGTTGCGAGGGCAATTACTCCGTGATGATTTTCCTCTTACGTCGGCAGGAATTCCTCCGTCAATTCAACAAAGATGTTCTGAAATTGCTGGTGATTTTCGGGAAGTTAGAAAATTCGGGTTTGCGCAATCTTCCTCCTTTTTTTTTGAGAATTCTTGGTATAAATTTATATAAATGGATATTTATTCCACCGTTGGGAATAAATTAATTCTTGCAAGTGTGGGGGAATTTTAGGTCCGGGATTGTGGGCATCAGGTCAGTCGTGTCTCAATGCCATCTTGAGATCCATTTTGGGGTGATGCCTGGGATTTTCGAGAAATTTTGAGAATTCCTCTTGAGATTTAAATCCTAATATTTTTTTCTATCAATAATGTGTAAAGTTCATTCAATTGGCGATCCATTGGCGACTGTGTATGGGTTTGAGAATAAATCTGTCTTCACGAAACCGTTTTAGAATTTATGGAATTCAATGCTGTCCCCAAATTTCATGTCAACACGTTTTAAAATCAAAGTAGATTCAAAATTTTAAATGAAAAGGGGTTTGAGAATAAATCTGTCTTCACGAAACCGTTTTAGAATTTATGGAATTCAATGCTATCCCCAAATTTCATGTCAACACGTTTTAAAATCAAAGTAGATTCAAAATTTTAAATGAAAAGCTGCGCTGAGAGATTCCTCATGTAAATGTGTAATTATCCCTGTGAAAAATTATTTTATACTTGAAAATCATGCTGTGGAATTTTTCATTGATCTCCGACTAGTCAACAACACGATCAACATGATCACCAGATAAACAACATTTTTTATCTCGATCACTCAGGAATTCAAACAAAAATAATCAAACGAAATAACACGGATTATTCCCTCCATTTTTATCGTAATTTTAAAAATAAAAAAATTAATTAAAAATACAATCTGTCCAGCCATCGGTTTCTAGTCTCGATTTTCTGATCAAAGAAATTATCATACACATTCTCCAATTGCCATTACCTTCAGCGGTAAAATTTATTTTTAATAAATAATTGTCACAGCATCAATGTCGACTGATTAAAAATAAATATTTCCATATATAGCTACGGAAATAACATTTATTCCACTTATTTCATAAATTATTCCCATTACCTAGAAGAATTATTTATTTTTCATTTTAACGATCTTCAAGTTACCGTTATTACCCCACACCATAATCACCAATTGTTGTAACAGTTGCTTGGGTGAAAAATAATTTGTTTATTCATGCATTTGGTGGTAAATTTTTTAGCGAGATTATAACAAAAACGGGGAAAATTCTCAATAAAGAGGAGTCGAGTCGCGACCGCGAAATGTATAGTATATGTTTCAGTGAGGTAACCCGGTAACCGAGTTTCGTAATCTTGTCCTCTTTTTTATTCAACTCCGCTCCATTACACTGGATATTGATACTGTCACACTCATTAGTGATGCCACGTCGATGGGGGGATAATTTTTTTGGTGGAAACACCGCGATGGAGGCCACTTACGCTCGATGTAATTACCCGGTTCAGTACTCCGAGTTAATTGAGAAAAGAGAGGGTTAACGCCTCCGTACCGGTTCAATCTTTGTTTTAGGCTTTTGTGGAAAGTTTTTCTCGGATCCTGTGGTTTATTTTTTTTTTTCCAGAGTCAAGCTATTCAGGATTTATCCAATAAACGAATGAATATTCAAAAAAGGTAGATGACTAATAGTGAAAAGCGCTCATCGCTTTTATTTCTCTTCCCGATGAAAGCATTTAATTCGATAAAATTTTAGACTTTTAGATTTTTATCGAGAATAACAGAAATGATCGGAGATATTTGAAAAGGAATACAGATACATGTGCGCGCGTCGAATATAGATTTTCACCTGTTATAGCCGATGTTGAAAATAATGTTGAAAATGTTATTTTAACGGGTGAATATTTTTCTTCCTCCCCAGGAATTCGTCGTTCGACCATGAAATTTTGATTAGCGAATAAAAAAATGGCGTAAAAGTCTCAGCAATTTTTTGTTTGCACCTTAAATTTGAAATAGTGGAAATTATTTTGATGTGCATAGTACAAGGGTAAATTGTTGGCAGTACTTCCGAGAGTGGGCAATCAGCTTTAACCCACCCTCAAATTTTTTATCCCCCATTTTATGTCGACACATGGTTGGTGAAACGACAAACCCGCGAGACAATGCGCGCAAGTGCTTGAATTGTCATAAAGACAAATTCATAAAAAGCGAGAAAAATGAAAATTACACATGAGATAGAAGGAAATAAAAAATTATAAACAATGGAGGAAATCCTCTTACAGTTGAAGAGGTCGTTGTGGGTTACATTTGTGTTGCCTACTACAGTCCTCGACCTCGTGCGGCTTAAAGGATCGATTAAACTACCCTCTACAACAAAATGCGGCCACTATTTTCCCAGTGCGTACCTGTTAACATATCAAATATTTATATTGTTAATAAACTTAACGATGTACTGTTAGATTTTTCAATATATTACAACGTACCGATTTTCATAGTCATCTCCTTATATTTCCACATTTTCACATTTCTCTCCAACTTTTGTGAAAATTCACTGAAAATTTTATGCACAACCTGCATAAATTGTGAAATAATTGCACAAGCGTCACTTCAATAAAATTCCTAGAAATAATTACATAAAACTTTATGAAGTTTCATGATTTAATTATTCATACGGAGGCGGATGTTTTTTAATTGCGTAAAATTTCATTTTTCAAATAAATATTTCTCTGAAATGTGTCGGGAGATTAATTTAAATTTCGCGGGGAGATCTAATCTCGAAATTATATTTTATATTAATATCCTTAGGGCTGTCGACTCGGCGTTTTTCGTTATGAAAATAATACTCCGAGGCTGGACTATCTGCGGTAATACTCGTTATTGTAAAAGTCTTCAAAATTAACATTTTTCTAAGTCAGCAGTAAAATTCACCGTTAATTTTTTTATAGTCCGTTTTATGAGTTGAGCACATCTTGAATATTCAAATTTAGGGAGGTTTAATGGCGGGCAATTGACAATCCTCGAAGGAGAGGAAATAGAGAGAATATCGAGGAAATAGTAACGAAGATGGAAACCGGTTTAAGTCGACTTTGTTCTGAGTTTTCAAGAAATATATCCGAGTCTCAAAGCATTAGCTGAGCCTTTCGAAAGATCTTTTTACCCACATTATTTAATATTAAAAATCGGTACGTACAACGAAATGAAAATTGCAATTATTGAAATTTTTTTGAAATAATTTTGAATTTTTTTTTAATTCTGAAGTCCAATGAAATTTTCAAGGAATCAGGCGAAAATTCCGGTGGAAATAAAATATTCAAAATTCCGTATTGCATCATCTGTGAATGAAAAACTATTGGTTATATTTTTTTATCCTTCATTTTCTTTTTTATTTGAGTATTTGAGAGATGTAATCTGACGGAAAATTTCGATTCCGCGAATTCAGATCTCACGTGCATTGACAATATCCAAAATAATTCGGTTGAACGATTTAATTGGAATATTTCCGATAATAAACTCGGGGAATCCCAAAAATAGTCTCTTCAATACATCTCTGAACCTCAAATTAACGGCAACATAAATCGATAAAATGAATGCCGTCTAATTGGAATTTGATTTCGCAGTTGAATATACTGTGACGTAAATTAAAAATGCTAATTGCCCTGCACAATTTTCTTCCATCATTTATACATCAAAGAAACATTCAGAGCAAACACGCGATTTCCACGAGTGACACGAACCCAAACGCGTCCAACATCCATCAAAATGGTCTATAGATTCCAGATATTTATACGCACGAAATCCGAAAATCTTATCGAACCAAAAGATAAAAAGATAAATTAACCTGTCCCTGTTTTTCACCTGTCACTGACACTCGGTTTTTCCCTGTAATTTCCATCTCATGAAAATCGACAGGAGGGAATTGCAATTTATTTTCCCGAAAATTCGAGAGACAAAAAAATGCTGAATGTTTTTTCGATAGAAATATTTTCTTGAGAGGTATCTGATGTGGAGAAGAATGGGACTATTTTTTCCGGGTGCTTCGTAAGTCGATACGGAGACAAACAAAATATAATAGTATTTTTCTCCGAGGAAAGAACGAGAGTAGATGGTGAGGGGGTGGTAGATACGTGAAAACAAAGAAATATAATAATACAATGCACAAGTCATTGAATCGATTGTTTCCTCGTGCCCTTTCGAGAAGGCTTCAAGAATTAATGGAAAGTGATTCTATATTCCCTCCTACGCGATTGAACATCCCGATCAATATTGAGTACTCTTCATAGTAATCTCAAACAATGAATCATCATAAATAGTTCAAAATTATCAACCAATACGAGTCACCCCCATTTTCACGGACATAAAAAAATTCGATAATGCCAAATGAATTGCGAAGGAAATGCCCAATTTTATTTTTCCCCGGTGTTTGGGCCTTATTTATTCACCTGATTGCCATACCCCAATCGGTCTAACAGGAAAATCCCAAAAAGCACAAGTGAATAAATAAAAAAAATGTAAATGTTAAAAGTTGAAAGAAATAAAAGTTAAAAAGTGGAGTTTATTTATAACCGAAGAACTAATCTATTAATTTTTTTTATTCTGTCCAATCGATTGATTTGTATTGTGTCTCCAGGGGAATTTCTCTCGAGTATTTCTTGCATATTTAAAAAAAAGACCTCTTGACTGATGGAGGAAGTGCATCGGGTGTACCTAGAAGTGGTTGGACATTATACTCGGCATGTACGTGTATTTGCGTCACAGGGGTGAGGGGAGTGGGTGGCTTTGGGGTGGTAAATGCAAGGACGCATGTACATAGGAATGTACATGTGCGGGGGTGTGTACAGGTCTCTTCACGTGACGTGACGCGTTGGATAAACGGCCAATTTGCGAGGGCAACCCGTTTATCCAAACCACACATAGAGTTACCATCTCTTCCGTATCTACCTTTGCCAAACTCTTTTTTTTTACTCTTCCATTTTTTTTCTGTATTTTGACCAACCCATCCACCCCCCAAAATAAAAATTAATAATTGGATTCTCAGGACTGAGAAAAAAAAATCCGAAACTCAGAGATGAAGTCATGAGTAGTCCCATAATTGTGATTGTCAGTTTTAAATATTGAGTGTAATTACATTTGTTTGAAATAATTCAGTGAAATTTTGGAGCTGGATTGAAAAATAATCTTTAACTTCTCTATCTTGAAATTTTTCTGTTTTGAAATTTTAATTAAGAGGACTGGAATATATTTAAGAATTTTTTAGACAGGTTTATTGTTGGTTGTTCTTTAAACTTGGAAGGAGAATAGGGAGACAAACACTCGCATTCAAAAGCCGGAGGAATTTCCGGTTCGGAACACCACAATTACCTTCATTTCCCTCTCACAACTGGCACTAGGTTGAACAACAAAAAAGAGCATGCCGGTCCAAAACATTCGGTTCCATTTCACTGTACAGTGACAACGGATACGAGTCGCGGTTGCGGTTTTAAAAAATATTTTTTTACCATTTTACATTCACGATCGATCAAAGGACGTCGATAACGCGATTGATCGACGCGTTTGCGAACGATATTATTGACAGCTCATTGGGACTTATCATGCCCTTTACTTCCTGAAAATAAAAAAAAAATTCCAGAAACAATCCGACAATTTTTAATCAGGTGTACACCAAATGGAAAAATTACCTCACGGTATTATCGATTGACCCTTTCAGTTATCGGGCATTTTGCTTGAGGCCAATCAGGATTCTCCAGTGTCAAGGTTATCCTCGAAAAATGCCTCATCAACGATCGAGTGGAGTAGGAATTCTTCCGGCAGAATTCTTCTTCAAGTATTCCAGGATGTTCTTCCGAGTGCAAGATTCGAGTCACCTGAAAGAATTTGAGAAAGAGGTCAAATGAATTTGTTGATTGGGAGCTTTTTGGATAAGTTAAAAAATTGTCTTCAAGAAATTGATTTAGCATCGGCTCTGGATCTGATTGATATCCACATGAGCTGATTGATATCCAGGTGAACTGATTGAATTTCCGACGGGATTATCGATATTTAACCGGAAGGATACGAGGATCGACGAATAATAATAGTTCTTACGTCACGTCAGACCACTGATGAGAAATATTATGACGTGCATTTAGCGTTCATCCGCTTCCTATCTTTATCTCGTCATTATATGAGTGGCGGTTGCTCAGCGACTGTCGGGGGTACTCCAGAGGGAGAGGGTTCACTCGTCTTGTCGCACTGTCAAGGTTCCACTTGAATGAAAAAAAAAAAATACCTCTGTGTATCCATAAATAATTCACCGATACACACATTACCTTCTGATGGTTTACACTCAGCTGTTGTTTTTATTATTTTTTTTTTGTTCATATTTTTTGAGATTCTTTCTTCCGCTTCGGTATTCAAAGGGTTCTTCAAACTCTAGGGCACTCATTCATTCCTCGTTTTGTATTTCAAAAGCTTTTGTTCTTGGGCGGTCTGTGGACCGCTCCCAGTCAATGGAAAAAGTTTCAAGTTTGGTTCTATGATAATAGAGAGTTCTCCTGTCAAAACATGTGAATTGTTTTTTGCCGCTTTTTTCTTTCGGATTGAGAGGAATTTTCCGATTTTTCCCTCTGGCAGGAGGGGAATTTTATCGGATGGAAATTACGAGTTTAGAATGGAAGCAGTGGGTGTAGGTACAGGGGAATAATTTCCGGTTTCATGACATGTTTTCAGATTAAATACGGTCATAATGAAATTTGATTCATGTCTTATATCAACTCAATGGATTATTGACAGACATTTTTTTTTATATGTTTAATTGAATAATTTAAAGTAGAGGAAACACAGGGGGAATTAAAAAATGATTGGACATGGGTATTAAGGGAATTATCGGCGGAGGTCATTGGGTTGGAAAGGTGTGGGCCGGAAGTAGTCCAATTACGTGACCGGCCCCCGTGAAGATCGCAGTCCGAGATTCTTGGTATCAAGTCACGGCAGGTTGCCACGGACCCCCGATGTTAAGGGTGTGACATAAGCTCGCTATTTCATTGACTCTTTCCCATCTCATACCTCAACATTTCTATCAATTGTTACAACTGCTCAGGGGTGAAAATAATCTCATTCGTTTACATCATCACTACCCGATGCACTGATAAATAAATTACAAATATTCAATAAAAATTACGCGTCTGTTCTGGAAGGTAATAAGAATATTCAGAATAAATAACGAACAGTTGGGGGTGTTTTTCCGGAAATGCAGTCAAGATTTGCAAATAATTTTCAGGCAATTTGTGTTAATTAAATTTTCATTTTGCAGACAATTTGTGGTAATTAAAGACTGGGTGTTGGTATTTATGAATAGGAAAGTTTCAGAGTCAAGGGTTGAACAGCCTCGGTGACTTTTCAGTTGGCAAGTGATACAGAAGGGTAGTGTGAGGGTATTGAGTCGCGTGCCAAAATGCACGTGAGAGACGGTTTTATACACATCTGAAAATTGTCCCAGTGCATTTGAGTGCAGTGACCTAACAGAATGGGAGACTGGTATTACCGCAAACGTGTAGGGGGACTTATTTATCTGAATTCATGCCAAGTGCTGAAATCGTTTATTGTAAATCGAACCCAGCTCGAGGATTTATTCAATCTGTGCAATTTTCGGGGGCTTGGCATGCGGCGACAATAGAACCCTTGAAAAACAATTTTTTCCATTTTTTTTTTTCATATCAAATCAAGAAGCGTTGCACTAACAGAAAAAAATTCTTTTCTCCACTGTATTTATCAATAACCGGGAGAAAAAATTTTAATCGGAATATTTTTTCCAAATTTTTGAAAAATTTCGGGAAAATATTCCGGAAATTTTTTTTATGAAACTGAAAAATTTTATTTCTGGGAAAGGTTTTGAAAAATTTTATTTTTGGGAGAGATTTTGAAAAATTTTTCAAAAATTTGAATAGGAAATTTTTTTAAATAATTTAAATGTCGTATTTTTTGAGAATATTGAAAAATAAAAAAAGTAAGAAAACACCAGTATAATTAAAAAAAAAATTATATTCGCAAAAATATCTAGAAAATTATTTTAAAAAATATTCGACACGCATTTTTGAAAAATTTTTCAAAACATTTCCCAAAAATAAAATTGTTTATACGTCATCACTTGGTCAGCATAATCGAATTCCGCTGGCAAGTGTCACGCTGACACTGCCATACGTCCACATATTAAATAATAACGAAATTCATCAAAACCTGGAGCATCACATGTTCTGCCGAAAAAATGCGATGGATGTAATTTTTTTTTTACCAATTTTTTATTGAAGTTTGTTTATGAGATAGATGTTGAATTATCAGGTTTGACAATCGAAGAAGATGGCGAGCAGTACGGAGGACTACGGCTCAGAGCTCCAGGAGCTCCAATGGGGTGGTGGTGGGTCCTCTCACTTTCTCCGTAACAGCGGAGGTGGATTTTTGAGAGGTGCAGGTGGTGGTGGTGGTGGTGGTGCTGGTGGATGCTATGAGGCTGAAGATCTTGAGCCATCAGGAGGCAGAAGTCGAAGTACTCAGAACAGAGGGTACTACAGTCCACCTGGAACAAGCTACACTATCGTCGAGAGACCACCCAGTGCACCCCATCATCATTCATCCCATGCTACTCCGTACAGACATCGGGGACATGGAGCTGGTGGTGGAGCTATCTCACCGGAACAAGTCTTGAGGTTCGCTACGAAAAATTATTATTCGATTTTTAATTATGGATTAATTATGGATCATTGACAAAATTATGTGGAAAATTCGTGATGAATTTTGCACAGTGGAGAATGCGGAAATTCACTGACGAAATTAAATAAAAATTCCGTGTATTCATCAGATTATTTAACAATGGAGTAGCGGAGAGACGGCAAAATGAGCGTCGCACCCCAGCTTCAAGTCCAGCAAGTGTTTCAGCCCTTCGTGGAGTGAGTTCTGCCTCTCAACAGCAGACACAACCCGCGAGCTCAACCCCTCAATCCCCTCAAGCCCTCAGCCTCCAGGAACTCACTGTCAGAACAATTACCATGACTCGGGATCCACCTGACTCTCACCATGGCTTTGGCATCTGTGTCAAAGGTGGCAAGGACGCTGGTAAGACCAATCTTTCTCTTCTACATTCTCTCTCACATCTTTATTTATTTTATTCATCTCATCTCACTGAGGAACAACCTGAATATATCCCCCGAGGACTCTCTTTCGTCCCAACATATTTTTTTCATCCTTCTCCACACCGGAAATCGAGTTCGTCTCGCTCTTTTTTTTTATCATTTATTTATTATCTTCTTGTCCATTATACTGCCCTTTTTTTTCGTGAAATATGGAGTCTGGTCGACCCCTCGGTTCCTCGCTATTGAAATAAAAAATCAACCGTCCGTTATCAGTCATACAGCGATTGAAATTGCTCTGGCATTCACTGACAATAATTTATTGCCCGCGAATTCATTTTTTAATGGCAATGGATTATTTATTTACTGGAATTAATAAAAAAGTCAACTTTATTGGATTATTTTTTTCAATTCGAGATTGAATCAAATTTAATCGAGTTTTATTTCTGAAATACTTTCAAATCATTTTTTTTTTTAATGATACTAATTAAAAATTCCAAATAATCAATTAAATAAATTAATTGAGCAACAATTTTCGTGGAATACACGGGTTGGGACTTGTGAAGATAGTTACGTGGTTTCCACGAATAATAGAATCCTTTCAATCGCGGTAGTAACAAAAAAGAGAATTTAATTCGCGAAACCAAACAAATAGCAAATTTCTCCAATATGTTCTCTCTTCGTAAATAAAAAAAAAACCGTAAGTACTCTGAAAAAGAACATACTCCATTCAATTTATCAGCGTCTCGATGGCTCGACCAAACTCCCAATTTACCCCACAAATAACAGTCCAGAGAACCAAAGTTAAAGTCACTGGGATTGTATTACTTTCTGTTTTTTTTTTCTCGCTGTACCCAGAAGCACAGTCAGGTAAACAAAAAATAGTACAGGAGCAAATTAAGAGAATGACCTTAATCGATATTATTTCATTTATCAACTGATGCCCAAAGAAAGAAAAACCGAAAGGGGATTTGAAATCATGATATTGACACACGAGTCATGATACTTCAAAGTCTCCGACTTCCATGGGAAAAAAAAATATGTGCAGCATCAAAGTTTAGATTATACTTTAATAAATAAAAAATTCCCATGGCAGACGGTTCAATCACTTATTTTGCCTTCACAATATATTCTTATCAATTCTGTTGTCATGTCCTTTCGCCCCTTTCACAGCAGATCAGTGTCGCATGAATACATCTTTATGAATTTTTTTTGGCATTAATATCTCACCACACGAATTATACCGAGCAGATGAATAAAATTCCAACGAAATTAATCGAAGAAATAATTAATCTAACGAATAGAAATAATTGTGCACACGTGATTCATCTGCTTCAATAATTCCTTCAGCCGCAGAATCAATTATTAATTCAATATATCTAGAATAATCATAGAAATAATTGCATGGTACTTCTTAAAGCTGAGGTATAAAGGTAGCATCGTATTAAAATCTATATCACTCAGATTTACCTGTGTCAATAATGAATTTTCATTCCAATCACAGGTTTTGCATAATTGATAATTCTGCATGAGCAATACGAGGAGCGCCATTAAAGCAGTAATTTGCAATTCATAAAAATATGTCAAATCAATATTCATTCAATTTTTTCAATATAAAAAGAGATAAAATTAATCTAAAAACTTCAACTCCCCACATTTTCCAATATCGATAATATAAAATCATTTGAATACAAAAATTATTGAAATAAATGTAATTTTAATTAATAAAAATCCGGTGCTATATATTAATTATCAAAATACTTAAATAACTCATAAATATCATAAACAATGAGCATTAGTTTAAATTCAAAGGGAATAATTAATCTACCATAGCTTCGATAATCGCCCGATTGAATTTACTTCCACATTTTAAGCTTTCAATCACTTGCGCCACAAATCATTAAACGAGCTCATTGTCCCTGGTATCTCCGTGCCTCAATCATGTCGCTTGATTAATTCTTCAATCCCTTATTCCATTCCGGGAATTCTCACACCAACGGCTAATTAAATACGAGCCCAAGTGCACTATACCCATTGCAACCCCCAGGCGGCCTTCATTCTTCGGATGATGAACTCGTTCACCATAATCTCATCTTCTCAACCTAAACTCTCTACCTCCTTTTATACTCTTTTTTTTTTTCGTTATCATTACATACTCATGGCATGAATTAACCGTAAATCATCGATTCAAATATTAACGATCCGCAAAACAGCAGTTGCATGATATTGCAGTTGCAGTTCATTGTTGCATCCTGTACATAAATTAGGAGGAGTGGAGTTCGAAATTGCTTTTTATGGCCAAAAGGTAATGGCAATAATGGAGATTCAAAAAAATTTTGATAAATGAAAAATTATAATTCTCCAATTTTGGGAATTTTTGAAATTTTGTGAATGGGAGAATTTTTTCATAAACTTTTTTGCTTGATCTTTCGAGAAACTCCACTCACCTTTCTCAATCAATTTCTTTATCTCGATATTTCACAGTATTCGCAATATGTTTCATCTTGCATCTGCCCTGAATTGAAAGTTTAATTTGAGGTGCAGGATGCAGAGCACAGGACGTAGGGCAGTTAGTGCGCACTCAAAGCCAAGATATCAATTCACAGTAGATTTTTATTTATCTATTTTTATAAAATCCTTGAGACTCAGCTTGTCCATAAGTTTATAATCCTCAGGGGATTGTTTCCAGGCGTGGGTGTGTACATCTCAAGGGTGGAAGAGGGTTCTGTGGCAGAGAGAGCTGGCCTCAGACCTGGTGACACAATCCTTGAAGTTAATGGAACTCCCTTTCGCGCTGTCACACACGAAGAAGCCCTCAAGGTGAATTACCTTGGAATAATATTTTTCTCACATTTTTCCGCCATCCACTCCATCTCTCAAATTCCAATAATTCAAGTCTTCACGTTCAAGCAGACTTGAGCCATATTTTGGTAAAAAAATTCAGGCCAATACCAGCTCACTTGAATTTTCATTCAATTTTCACTTTTATCCTTCTTATTTATTTTTTACTTTCACATTAAAATTGATGTTTCTATTCTGAATATTTAAAAAATATGATAAACAATTGGAATTTATACATCGAAATTAATGGACATCGACTGAGGTTCTGTGATTAGTTTCCGAGGGTATCCGAGTAACGAGGAACTGCGTAAAAGTTTCAAGTAGAGCGAAGAAAATGAACTATTCTATGAATTCTGATGTAAACGACGTTGATGAGAATCTGCGCCCCATCACGCTCTAGTGGATTTAACGACAAAGCGAACGGCGACACGACAATGGGCCATCAGCACTATCGGAAGACATTTGGGGGTGAGAGATGAAAAAAATGACGACAAAGAAGGAAACAAAGAGGCTCGAGACTGTGAAGAGAAAAAAAAAATGAGCAAAGAGGGATTTAGTCTTGATGGATCTCCACGTTATCCAGCAATTTTATTTCCTCAAACGAAATCCCTGGGATCCCTCAAGACACACTTTGATGAATTTCTTCGTCAACTGAGATAAATATGATAATAATAATTAGCGATAAGAAAACAAATTGGTCTCATTGGAAGTTCAACTCGAAGTAAAGGGCAGGGGAAAAACTTTTCCCCTTGTGGTAAATTAAATAATAATATTAATTATAATTTTTTTCTCAACGCGCAGAAACCTCTGAAATAATTTTATTTGTGATCACGATTCGATTTTATTTTTCTACTGCTCCCCGTCTCATTGAGACGAAATAAATGACGTGCACCAAGGAAGGGACTTCCCCTTTTTTTATGTTGTAACATGTCGATAGTCAAAAGGTATCTCTCGACCCTGGCCTGGAGTCGCGACTTCTGCTCGTCTAGAATCGATCGACATGAACAACACAGGGAGGGAGATTGAGCTGTCGTTAAATTGCCTCGTCGTTCCACTACTCGATTTTTATTTAATTGATAATATATGCCTTTGATAATCTCTGAAGGATTTCTAAAGAAATTCCAACGGAGATTCAATCAGTTCTATTCATGAAAATTTTCCCAGATTTTCATCGATGGTGAATGAAAAATTGGAGGGATAAGAAATTCTCCTGGTTCTCTGAGGGAATTATTTTCTATCATGCATCTTCTTTTTATTACCAATTAGTCTATCCATTGATCGGTATTTCAATATTGTTATTGAAGTAGGCGACTGTAATTATCTCGGTTTGCACATGATTATGGAATGGAATGGAACGTGCGGGAACTGATATCATGGTAATTTGCTGATGGAACAGAATATCAGAGTCGATCGATACCAAAAGCCAACAGACGTCTTCCCTCCAAATGAGGAAGTGGTCACACAATCCGATATTCTTGATCACAAAAATTCGCGAAAAATTTTCGTTTTAGCACTCATATCACGTGCATTATCCATGCCTTGATAATTTTCCTCCTCTCAAAATATTATCGAAGTAATAATTTCCCTTTAGCCTCCCAATTTTATTCTTCACGAATCCGTCAAAAAAATTGTGCACATCACAGTGAAGGCTGGAAAAAATATAAATTTCACAGCGTGCAGGCGATTGGTGATGAAAAATCAATATTTATCTGATCAATCTGAACGTCGATCATTCCTGAATGACAACGAAGAGATGAGAATGTAAAATAAGTACTGAAGTTTCCCCTCTGGTTTTATGTCAAAATATACGATGACATCAGTAAGGGGTGGCTGCCAACAATCTTCATAAAATAAAACTCCGGTTCATTACCCCAATGGCACCTCTAAAAAACTTGTCGCTCTTGTTCCCTCTACAAGTTCACTCCCATGTCTGTCTAGTTTTATACTGAAGAGTTCCCTAGGAATTGTTGGAGAAGCTGGCGCCAGGATTCCCGGCGCCCTCATTCAACTCCTTGCTCCACCCTCATTTATCCTCCCCTGTACATAGTGACGTAAGAACTATCGTATTCCCACTCAGACCATTTCACCCACTCCATCCAACAGTTTTATTTTTCTCACGACAGTCGAATATTCCGAGGGAGGTTGAGCCTTGAATGAAAATCTTCCAACAACCCAGAGGAAACAGAGGAATCTCCAAGGAAGTCCATCGCATTTCTTCCCCCAACGAGTTTTTCATCTTCCAAACTTTCTTCAGGGTCCAATTTTAGAGAGTGAAGATCATTTATACTCCAGATGGTCCAACCATTGGTAACTTCATCTTTTTCTATATCGATATGAATTGAAATTTTTAATTGAACCTGTCCTCTGGATTACGTTCATCTTTCAGTGAATTCAAGATGGATGATCAATGATGAATTACACAAATCCTCTTACTAAATCCCATCTCGATTAATCGTCGGCGATTTCGCGGGGATTACCAGAGTAAAATACCATATGCATATAGAATCTCAATCTCATCATGAAGATTACTCAGTCCTCCATCGGTGTTTTGACGCAGTTTGTGATTTTCAATAAAGAGAAGTTTGAATGAAGAAGTTTGAGATGGAATGAATCAATGTACCATTCATTCAATGATGGATTCCAATTCTTCCGGAAGTTTTTATGTTCAAAAGACATGTAATTTCTGGACGAATCGTTTTCGTGCCTCTCGTTTATCTCCATCAAAGAAGATCGTTTATTTCAGCCCCGTCTTTCCCTGTGGTAGGGGAGTATTCCTATTCTCTTCAGATTCCAAGATATCCATCAATAATTCCCCTAGAAGATAAGCTGAATTCCGTAATTCATCATTTCGCTAGTTATTCCTCCACAGGATTGCCTATTTATTTTGAAAACAAAAAGGAAACAAAATAAAAAAATTTTAAATTTAAAAATTGAAAATTGAAGGAAAACCTCCGCTCGATATTTTTATAAATTCTTATAAATATTTGATGTTTGATGAAATGAAGAAATCGCGGTCACATCCGTTCGGCCACTAATTAGGGTCACTATGCAAGAAGATATTTTGATAATTACTCCCGGCGTCATTAGCAATCTGATATTGCAATTCCAACTATAATCACGATCAAGATAATTTGATCATCGCAGGAGTTTCTTGGAATCAAATGAAAGTGCATAGCGAATGTTGATTAACTTTCAGTGGAGTGTCCGTATCCCAAGAAATTTTTTTTGTACAGAAACATCAAAGGACTTTCGAGCGAATTCCTTTTCCGAAGAGAATTCCGTCCCTCAAGATCGTTCACAACCGAGATAATTCAGCGAACGATTTCAGTTTCATCACCATAAATTTAAAAAAAGCAATGGAACTCGATTTATACTCAGATAAATTAGCGATTTTCGTTTAGGTGAACCTTCGAGTTGATGAGAATAAAATTTGGGAATTAATCGATTGAAATGTCATACGTGTTTGGGAACCGAGTCTACACCACTGAGAATACCTTTTCTATCCTGGTGGATAGTGGCAGAAATGATGATGGAATCTGTGATGCTATCCGGACCGGGTATCCTAACTATTTGCATGAACGTCGGGGATTGAATTGAAATTCACCAGTGGCTCGTTTAAATCATAGACCAGCCCACATATCGCCACGACAGTCGACCAATCGATTTTTAAATATCTTTTATGACCTACCATCCTGGATTAGCAGATGAAAATTTCTTTTTTTCTCTCTTCCCTTTAAAATGGGGGCCTGAAACATTCCAATTAATATTTTCCATTTTTTTTACCAGATCAGCTACATATGATGTCAAAAATCCATAAATCTTATTTTCAAATACTATCTGAATTTCATAAATTCTTCTCTGCAATGAATACACACTTGTAAAATCTATGGAATAATAATGAAAATTTGATGAATAATTTATGAGCGACAACGAAAAATTTTTCCGATAATCCAATTGGTTTATTTTTTAATCCATTAATCAATTCATTTGATCAATTGGTTAATTTTTTAAATGTGGGATTTTCGACTGATTGAAAATGCGGACAGGTGAAATATCAGTGTTTCTCCGGGTAAAGTTCCGTTTCGAGACACAGGGATTCGAGTCAGGTCAAGGATAGCCAGGATGTGACGTCACGGGCTGTGCCTGGAGATCGATATCCCGGTGGCGCGTCACCCTCCCTGAATCGCACTTCTGCTCATTTATTTCTACTCCAATATCCTAATATCACATCACGAAATATTTCACTGAATTTATTGGAACATTCACGAGTTCAAGTCGTACGTTATTTTTCATTTTTTAAAAATTGCTGAAATGATTTCCAGAAGAGAAAGAGAGGAAGAAGGAAAAAGACATCATTAGTAATAATTGAATATTAGAGGAAATTTCATTTTCAAATGGGAAGAAGAGAGTCAATGGGGAATAATATCGTCGACCTCTTGTTAATTGCGTCATGAGGGCCTTCAATGGTTCATTAAAATTTCGAAAATAAATTGAATTTTCAAATGAATGAGGACAGATATTCTGTATTCATCAAAAGGGATTTATGAGTTTCTATGGATTAATTTAGAACAGTCGGGATTTTCCATACGATAATTTTGTTTACAAGAGCTAGATAATGTTGCATCCCATCGTCGAGTAGAAAATAATAATTGGAGTTGGAATCCGTTATTAAATTTTCAGCTAAAAAACCTGTAATAAACCATAAAAACAAAAACTGTTTGAAATATCTCACCGAAAATCCCACAATCATTCCCAAAAATCGTGATTTTACTCACTCAAATTTGAGTAAGCGACAAAAAAAAATTTTGGTTGAAAATAATATTTTCACTTGAAACCCAAAAAGAAAAAAAATATTCCCTTCCTCCAGCCAACATCTAACAAAAAAAAATCTCAACGTATCATTGATATTTCCCAGAATTGATGTTTACAATGAGAAAAATTGATAGGATTTTTCGAAACAGATGTTGAAGTCCTGTCGTACCTTGAGTATGACAGTGCGAGGTCCAGCTTTAGATCCAAGATGTCGTGGTGGTCATCCGGTGTGGTCAAGCTCTGGAAGACAACAGTCATGTTCCTGGATGGATCGTCAGGGTCGACCAGCATCACCACCGCCACTGCATCCTCGTGACTCGCGTTATGGTTCACGAACCCGAAAAGTTGAGCTCTGTATCGAGCCAGGACAATCCCTAGGGTTGATGATAAGAGGTGGACTAGAGTACGGTTTAGGAATCTACGTGACTGGAGTTGATAAGGACAGTGTGGCCGATCGTGCCGGTCTCTTGGTAATTTTCATCTTTATTGTTTTTCAATTTTATTACTGTGCCTCACCCCCAGGTGAACACTACGCGAACCCTCTGCGACAGGTATAAAAATAAATAAATAATTATTCATTCTCTTCAACCGATGGATCGCCATAACATTCTGTCCTTCGCGCCTTGTAATGTTTATCCAATTTCCCCTGTGTGCCATTAATAATTTATTAACAATTTCGAAATTGAATTGATTAATCGACCGGAGTAGAACAATTCTGACTAAATAATGAAAGAAATAATGAATGTTGGGGATGAATGGGGTAATTCAAATAAATCTTTAATCAATTGCCTTGTTCACGAATTTTGGAATTTTGGAAATTTTGGAAGCAAATTTCGTGGCTCTAGTATGCAAACCGGACGACAATTCATGAAGTAATTGATGTTTGGGAAAATAGGTCGGCGATCAAATAATCGAGGTGAATGGAACGAGCTTCGAAGAGGCCACGCATGACGAAGCTGTACAGATATTGAAGACAAACAAACGTATGAGTCTGGTGATTAGAGACGTTGGTAAAGTTCCTCATTCGTGTACGACGAGTCGGCCAATCGTCGTGCCAAGCTCAAGGTACCAGGATCATGATCCACAAATGATACTGGAAAGCCCTGGAAATCGTCCACCTAGTCCTTCGTAAGATTTTTCATTATAACTCCAGAGTCCATTTGAATTATTTCAAATCGTCAATTAACTCGTCATTCTTTCGAATGAAATTACTCCATTGGAAAATGTAATTACAGTAGTGGTACAAGTGAATGGAGACATCGGGTCCACTCGGTCTCTTCAGCAACAGCAGCAATGGTGGAGGAAAAGGCTCGGGTTGTTCTAGCAAGAAGTGAACGTGCAGCCCTCTCTCAACTCCTTGCGGACTACAGGATACGAAGACTAACGATTGAGGATTTAGTGGCTTCCCTGGCTGATCTTCTGAACACCCACGAAAAGCTCACTCTTCTTACCGAACTCCGGGAGCTCGTTGACAGTAAAGACAGGGCAGCTTTTGATGACCTCGTCTATCGTCCAAGGGCCACCATCACTCGAGTACGTCTGTTCCTACTTAATCACGTCTTATCTGAACTTTACGAACGCAAATTTAGGTTTTAGTCTGCAGTAGACAGACCCTCATATTTTCCATTAGTCAAGCATTTTTTTTTTAATAATACTGTTACTAAAAATATAATTTTTTCTGGGATTTCATTGTTATTTGCAGAGAAAAGGCGATAGAGCACATTCGGATCTCGTGGTGACACCCTCTATACATGACCTTCCGGTAAGTGATAACGATAAATTCGAGAGGATCTAAATAATACTCAATCACGAAACCTCACTGACTATTTTAAGATCTTTATAGTATTTTCTAGAATACAATAAAATTCCCCTGTCTCTTCTCTGTCTTTTACTCTTTCTGCGTGTGACCCACCTTGCGCTAGATCCTGTACTAAAATTGTTGTTCTATGGAATAAGATAAATTTGAAGGAATTGAGATGAAGAATATCGTATCGCTCAAATTAATATTCCTTCGTTTGAATTCTTTATTTAATACCTTAGTGGCAGTCAATGGAGATACATTTTTTATCAAGAACTTTTATGGTACAACTTTGAAAACCACTTTTTACTCGCCGATACAATAAAAATATTAATAAAAAAACGAGTTTTTAACGAGCGTCTGAGTTACGAGCCTGAATTTTAATCGCAAAAGATAAAACCTGGTTTTTGTTTTCCACTTGTATCGTAACTATTTTTCCACTGAAACCTAATAAACAATTTCAAGAAATTGAGAAATCATAACAAAGATAATTTACTAATAATAGAAATATTATCCATCGGAAACCGTCGGAATAATTATTTTCATTTCTACATTCCCCTGGAAAAAAAAATACCGCCATTGTGCTTATTCCATTCAGCAACTGAATATTTTATGTTGTCACACACGTACACGGGATATCTCAACTCCTTAGAAAACAATAATTCACTGCTAGATTAGCTGCAGAAAAAGCTCCTTAATGGAACTCCTGAAAAAAAGTCAATATATGTGAGAAAAAAAAATGTATAAATGTACTCTTTATCTGGAGAGGTGCGAGGAAGGATGGCCCATAGGATCCTGGATATTATCAAACAACAAAAAACCCCCCAAAAAAAAAGCACGAGCACGAGTCTATTGATTACATCATTAAGCCTGCTAGTATCTGCCTTCTTTTCCTCATTCTCTTCTTCTCATTCCCCGTTTCTGACGAATGCCGCATGTTCCATAAAAAAAAAAGCCTCACCTGGCTTTCTACTAGGGTACAAAAGTTTCCACTGAAAATTCTTTTGTTCACCATTTTTTTACCCATCATTTTAGCGCTTCAATCCAGCTATCGCTAGCCTTGTCTTGTCATTGATAAAAAAAACTGAAATCCACGATAAATCTGTTAACTGGCACGCAATCCCTGTGCTTCTGATCGATACCTGCCTAATCAAAACCGTTGATAAACAAAGAATACTCGAAACTTTTCTCATCAACAGAAAAACACTGACGTTTTTTTATAATTATTTGATTTCGAATATTTATCCCACCGAGTTCGCCTGAGCTTTGCTGAAATTTTTATGTTCGTGCCGTAAGTTTTGCCATGATGATATTGCATTTAGCCGAAATGCAGAAATAGACAACGAAAGGTTTTTTTTTTCTCGTACACCTGCACGGAAAGTTCGTGCTGGGCTCTCTGATGAGTGAGAGGATAATGGGCGTTCTTACTCCCAAGGGTAGAAAGCTGTTACTTTCTCCCCTCGTGGGCTGCTTTTACCATTTGAATGAAAAGTCTTTATTAAAAGTCTTAATTTTTCTCTCATTCCTCCAAAAGCTTAATACGAATTTTGTTTTGCTGGTGTGTTGAGATAGTGGATTGTCCGGCTTAGGAAGGAAAATGGAACAGCAATATTCGCCTGAATCCTCATGCGGGTTGGAATGTCCTGTTTTACTTTAGAGGCACATACTATTTTTCGTTATAATTCGAGAGATTTCATAGTAAATCGAGAAAGGAACTTGGGTTATTGTATTCTGAGAATTATTGAAGAGAAGAGAAATCGGAATTGAATAATCATTTTCCTTTCATGATTTGGGGAGAAAGATTTTTCCGTGAAGACGACGAATGACGAAAAATTGTATGTGGACTTGGCGCGAGGAAAACGCGACTTTCCGCCCTTGTAGCACAAATTATTATATTTCCATTATTTCATGCCATCTTCGATTTTATTCGTATTTATTCCCATCACTTGAGAGGCATTTGAAGTAGAAGAATTTGTTAAGAGCGGATAAATGATTGCTCTTCATTTTTTGATCGGTTAATGCCAGAAAAAGGGGAAAATATTTTGATAAAATTGTTCTCGTCACTCGTGATGATCGAGCAGTGAGAGGACCATGATTTGACCATGATGAGTAATTATGATGATTCATTAGAAATTCAAACAGGCAAGGGTCATCTTATTTTTACATTTTTTCACATCATAATGAGAACAATTCTTCAAAAATCATCCGCCGAGTTTTTTCACGCATTAGTCGAAGAGAATGTGTCAAGCAAATATTTATTTATTATTCTGGCATATTTTTCTCTCGTCTGTCCTCTCAGGAGTCGTAATATCTTGGTATAATTTCCTCCCGCATTGAGAAAGGAAACGAGGTCGGACTGGTGACTCAAAGCTCGGGCAAGCTCGATGGAAGAAATAAAAACGGGCAATTTCCAAAAAAAAAAAAAAATCAACAAATAAAAGATGACAGAGACAAGGATTACGGAATTGTCTCTGTGATTTGTCGCAGAGGAGTGGTGGTCGTCCAGGAAGGCTGGTGGACATCGAGGGAGATCCTCTGGGTGTAACTGGACCCTTGCTGACGCGGGAGAACCAGGAGTACCGGTCACCGAGTGAGGACAGCGGCCTGGGGGCTGATATGCCCAGAATTAGGTGCTCGACAGTCAGAACCCTCTAAAAAAAAATAGACACCCAAATTCCAAATAATTCTTGTCCCCGGGGACGATCATTCCATTCATTTTTTTCACTCATCATCGCTCTGAGTCCTTGAAATCCTGGAAAACCGATCGATTACGCGTATCCAGGGGTTACCGTCGGCAACAAAGTTGATGGAATTAGTTTCGGTGACTTTCGAGAGTCGAATTTCAGTTCGTTTGCATTTTTTAAATAGAATTCAGACTCAGTGAATGAAGACGAGTGAAGAAATTGGTGTGAAGCGTTCCTGGAAGCTGAAGGGAAAGTCGAAAATGAGGATAAATTGTTTTAAAAATAGAGCATAATTATAATGAAAAAAGAATAGCCGAGAACAGCTTCGATATTTGGGCTTCCAGGCCGGGTTGCAGACGTGCCCAGCAACATCAGGTAGCCACATCCGACCTCGCCCTCTCCAATGATGATGAGTGCGACAATCAGGTACTTGAAATATCACTGAAAGCACGAATGTCTTTCAAAAGATAAATAATTACAACCGAGTTGAACCGACTTTATCAGATTATTCCTGCACAATAACAACCGCTTCGTTATGTTATAAATGGATATTTTGAAAGCCAAACATGACTGTTTTTGGTTAATGATAGAATCCACTAAATCTAGTCTACCACATAATTTCAGGATTACGAAGACGAGATTGAGAGCGACAGAGGCAGAAGACACAGCTCTCCAAGTGGCTCCCGAGGGAATTCCCGGGATTACGTACATCATCATCTGCACCCCGACAATTTGGTAAGAAGCCATATCTCCATTTTATCATTCTTTTTTATTCCGTAGACATGAGAGAACGTGGAGGTATTTTTTATTCGATTCAACTAGATTAGTCCCAGTTATATTAGGATTCTAGATACAGGTTTAAGTGTTAATTGGGTGTTTAAAGGCGAGTTAGTAATAGTTATTAAGCATGTTATGCAGAATTTATTGGAGGGATTAAGTAGGACAGTGAGTTTAAAAAATATATTACGAAATGGTCAAGATCGGTGATGATTGGAAAGATATTTTTCCAATTAAGTAGTTCAATTGAAATGGAAATTCACGAGAATGGAATTGTCGATAACGATCCACAAGGTCTGGCGTGCCTCTTGAGCATTACCGGAATAAAAATCAAACGAGCAATCTGGATAGGGCTCATCCCCTGACCAAGACCACGAGTTCATGGTCGTCCAAGATTTTTTCTTCAGCGATATTTTTCCCTCCATTTGTTTTTTCTCTACTCCAGTCATTTTCTCGCGTGCAAAGTACATTTTGCGGGATAATGAAGACGCCAATTACAGAATTATGTATTATTTTTTTTTCTCGCTGGGTTTAACGAGACGCAGACATTAGTACAGCTTCATAAAGCCAACCGAATAAGGGTTGTAATTGCGTATGGCATCGGTGAGGTTTTACGAGTAGCGACAATATTTGATGTTTTTTTTTTTCAGTGGTCAGTTTTATATATTTTTTTTTTTTGTTCGTCCAAGTTTTATTGCTTGGACATCGAATGCGACAGGGAGAGTGTGAGGCGAAGGTGAAACTACCTTCTTACAGGCCTCGCTCGAGTGAGCTCGAATGAGGAAAGCGAGAGCCGATTATATCCTGAAACGAGATATCCGGCCGATCGTGACGACGTTGTTTTATGTATATCATAATGTTTCTGCATAAACAAGTTATAATTCTATGGATAACGCTGAGAGTAATCGAAAGTGTTTCGTCTCACACGAGAAAAATTTCCACGCACTATTCGATACGATAATGCAGAAATGTAAAGATGGTAAATTATTATATTAATCATTGGAGAAAAGGTGATATTAATCTGTAATTGCACGAGGTAGATAAGGAGATTTCAAAAGTTTAATGAACAAATTGTGAATTTATTTCGGAGTGGGGCAATCGTGTTGGTGCGGTGATGAGTTATTGCGGGTTTTTACTCGAATTTTTTTTATTTTTACCGCACGTGTTGTTAAAATGTCATTATATTTAATAAAAAATATTGAGACACCTGTTCGGTGGGGTTCAGGCGATTGTTTCACGTGATAATGACTCAAGTGAAAGCCGCAAGTTGGTTGTCTTGCATTGCGAGCTTCATGAAATCATTAAAATCGGATTTCACGTCTGTGGGGAATTTATTGTTTACAACCACTTGTCGGATGATCGAATTTTTATTAAAAAAATTTATTGCGAATCTGATAATTCTTGACTGACGGATAATTAATTACCTTTAATCCCATACATTCGTGATAATTCTCAAATAAACATCGATAGAGCGATTTGCACCAAATGATTAATAATTAACAAAATATGCGTCCATGAACTATTAACGAATCCACCGTTAGATGACCACATGAACTCCGAACTCGATGAATTTATTAACAATAAATAATCCAGAATAATTCACCAGAGGGTGAATGTGTGAATGGATTCACCGATCGAAACGAGTGATAAGATAAAGCGAATAAATGATGAGTGGACCTCTGAGAATTAAATACAATCATTACTTTATTCTTAACAAAAACAAGTAGTACAAAATTAATAATAATCAAGTGGGAGTATGTACAGATGGGATGAAGGATGAATGTTGGGGGATGGTGGGAGGATTGGTGGAATTGCCAGAGGACAGACTGGATGGAGGAGGTACAGTAGCGCATGAGAAAATGTTTTGTAAACAACTCTCATGAGGTCAGAGCTTGTCCTGGATGGCCTGGCGTAGTTCTTCCGTCGCTTTGGCCACCTCCTGTGCTTGTCTGCTCACAATGTGCGATTCTACGCGTATTGCACAATGTTGTACACTTGAATTTGATCGTCTCACTGAATTTCCACTGCCAAATTTAGGCCGGGGTATTCGCACCCGTTGTACATCGCTCAGCCAGGATTCCATGTTGATTAATAATTCAGCAATTAATCTACAGGAAACATCGGGATAATTAACAAATTGTGATAACATCCGGAGTACATGAATTTCATTCGGAAAAAATTCATTTGGCGATTATGAATAATTTGAGGGTGTAACAAGCGGAAATCATTCTTCAAGGTGAAAAAATATACGAGTTTTTTAGTTAAATGGTCGGGGCTAGCGGAAAAAATTCAGATGTGAGATGTTAATTTTAATTCTTCGACGCCTTTTTCATAAACTTCATGCTGAATTGTTGTTTTAATTTGAATACTTGGGTAGATGTAAAAAATAAAATGGTCTAGGCCACTTCGCTTGACGAACCGACATGAACTCATTTTCTCGTGCAATTGTGTTTTCAATTTTCATTTAATCACTCTGTGAGAATTCGAAAAATAAAAACCGGAAGTCTCGCAAATAATACATGTATTAACGAAATATCGAAGGTTTTACGATGCAGGAAGAGGAGATAAAAGGATACCTTGAAGAATAAAACACAGAGATGTTCATGGAAGACCGTGGAACCGGTTAAAAATATAAATTCCCAGGCTTGACGATGGTGTACCGTATTGGATATACAGTTAGTCCCACGTATAATACGAATCTACTCTTTTCGAAATGGCTATGAATATCATGACAGGATGAACAAACGTCAAATACTATTTATCACCGACTTATCATGATCGATAAGACATGAGATTAAATCGCCAGATAATTCAAATTGCACTCTGTCAAATACAATGTCAAATTGAATTTTCCATTGATAAATTTGCTCACTCAATTTTCCCTCCGTTAATTATCCCAACGAAACTGTCACAATAGTGAAATTACTCCAATCGCAAATGAAACTAACGAATGAACCTCGTGACCTGGATTTTCATGTCAACACAGAACTTGCAACTTTTTTTTATTTCTCCAAATAGAAAATTCAAATTCAATTAACTCACCAATTCCCCAGTGATTTTATCGTCTGGTTGATTGAATCTTCTCGTAGTTGATGAAACTCTCTCTCTCGTAACGTTCGATTTACCCACCTGATCGATAATCAGAAAGTGCAATGTGCACGATAGGTTGGAGTATGTGGTGGCACGTCTGTTTTCAAGAGCGTGGCAGAAGTAACTAAGTACCTTGATTCGTTCTGTGGCTCAGTCTCAGGAAGAACGAGTGAGGTGGACTCAAAACAAGTGAGAGAAACACTTTAAAACTTGTTACCCATGCTCTCTCAAATTGGATAGAAAAGGATGGATTGGTATTGGACAGTAGTGGGGAATAGTTGGTACACCGTTGCCAAGTTTAGTCTTGGCCTCATGAAAATGCAGGTTACACGTACTAAACACAACTTTACAACTTTAGTGCGTACCATCATTTTGCAAATCGATTTATTTATTCCCAGTCAATTGTCAATCGAATCATCTGCACCTCTCAATTCTATCACATCATCCAGCCCATACTGCAGCACTTCTTCATCTTCATCTTCATCTTCATCTTCATCTTCATCTTCTTGGTTAATCCCCTATATTGGTTTGAATTTCAAAAAAAAATTTTTCATTATCACATTTTTTTTTTTTCTCTAAACACGAATTTTTCATTCTCAGTAAATCACTGAAATTTATTTCATTTGTTTATTCAACTTTTAATTCAGTGCTAAATTTAAGATTCCTGAAATGAATTGTTAACTGTTTTTAGTGAAATGGAGGGTTCACTGAAGAGATTGATGGGATATTCGAGGATTTTTTTTTAAAGAATAGATAATGGTTCGGTAAACCCGGAAACAGTTCCAGCCTTTTGCGCAACGAATTACAAATTACGCAAAGGAGGACAAGTCACTAGTTCTGAATCTCGGCCGAGTCGAATTGTACTCCTTTTGAGAGGTGGCGATGACTCATTCGCACGATTCCTTCGTGTATTTCTACGCCTTCCGGCTACGGGTCATCGGTTAAGGAGTTATTGCCGATACATTCTCATTTTTTATGTTTTTTTTTATAAATCTCTGGGAAACCATGGATCACATTGACGCACAAAAAATATACCGTTTTTATCTTTCATTCAATGACTCATAAATTTTCGCAACTGTCCGCCTATTTTTTCTGAATCGTTGAGAAAATTTTGGGAATTTTTACAATTCTGTAAACTACATGAAAAATGATGGAAGACTTCTTCAATGTTTAGTGGATTTCAATTTCTCTTTTAGTTTCTGGTTCTGGCTTTTTATTTTCTTCATTTTCATCGGTTCTCCAGGTCACGCGGAATAGATTTTTCAAATAAAAATGCATAATTTACTCACCACAATACCTGAGTCAGGGTGAAAGTTTTCGAGGCGTCTCTTGTGGTCTGCACCGGAGTTTTACGAGAAGTTTATCTGGGTCGATTATTATTATATATAAACGACTTGTGTGAGGGAGATTGGAGAGTTTTGGGCTTTATCTGCGAAGTGTTACGAATTTTCTTCAGGTTTTTTTATTATTTAATTAATACCCGATTGAGATACCCCAGAGATACGAAGGGATGGATAAACCCGCTAGTACGAGGGAGATCGGCCAATTATTTAAAAAATTTTAATGCAATTATTACGATCCAGCATCACTCATCTCTTTACATTGGAGGATCATAAAACGGCTCATAAAAATGATTGATACAGTGCTGAGCCTGGGAACAATCGTTAAAACCACGGATAATTCACCTGGAGGATGCGAGATAAATTAGCAAAAGCCTATGATTTATAAAAATAGTCAGGAAAAAAATGGAGGTAATAAATGGAGATTCCAGGCGATGAGGTTTCTCCATAAAAATCATGGAGATGACAATCCATGGAGAAAAAATACTGTAAAACATACTATGCCCGTCGAAAATAAGAAATGCATAAAGTGAAAAATGATAAGCTAGTGGTAGAGGGGTGATAGGGCTGTGGGTTGGTATCTAATGGGTGCCGTATGATGTTTTATATTTTTTGGGGTCTCATACGATGATGTGCAAAGGAGAGCGACGGCGGTTGTGAAGGTAGCGACGCTGAGATGATGGGTAATGGTCGTCGTGATACTGAGGATGAGGACGAAGGAAGGGAAGAGAGGAGCTCGGAGGGTGGAGGTGGGGGAGGTTTCGGTGGTTGGAGATCACACCTACTTGGTGGTCTTACTCAACGCGTCAAGTCCTGGTACTGGGGCGCCAGACCCCTCGTAAGTTCTACATTCAAGAACTTCCGCACAATTACCTTTTTTTATCTTTTATCTTTTCAGTTTATTTTTCATCAATTTTTCATTATCAATTTCGTCCGATTGATTGATTTTTTGTAAAACCATTTGTTCGATGAAAATTCATCAGTCATGAGATTGTTGATATCGCGAATATATATTTTTTTTTTCACGGTTCGCACGCTTCTGGAGAAAAAATCGGAACGGAAAGGAAAAATTCATAATATGAGAAAATTTCATTGGAATAATGACAAACAAGGAGTTGGCATGATTAAATATTATTGGATTTAGATTATACAATTCCTATTTTTTCAATGATAACGCTAATCGTACTCGCTCTAGATCTAGAGACTAGTCGATTGCCGAATTTTTACGTGTGTTTTATATTGTTTAAACTATTTAGATGTATTGCACTATAATCTGTACATTGTTTAGCCCAATTATTCACCAACAGAAACTAGATGAATAAATCTATAAACTCATAAACAGTCGCTTACAAGTCTTAAAATAGATTTTAATAACTCAATTATCATTCTTAAATTTTTTTTATTATTACTATAATTAATTATCAATCATTATTTATCATTACTTAGCACGAGTCTGTCAGTCATTGAGTTTAGTTGTCTTGGCATGCTAATATTCTCACAAATGAAAACTTCACAGTCGACAAAATTGTGATAAATCCAGTGGTACAATCAGAATATTATCTTCACGCAATCCAAAATATGAATTACAGAGTGCGAATTGAATAAAGAAGTGAAAATTATGAAAGTTGGTAATCAAAGACGAACACTGTGACAAGTGGGCACTTCCCAAGCCGTTTTCACGTACTGCTCGCTATGAAAAAAAATATATTTTTTTTTCTCTTTTACTTTCACATTAAAAATTTCTCACTCTATGCATCACTTTGAGCACCGAAAGTCTGATGATTCCTCGCTGAATACTTCATGACTGTCTATCCACATGAAGATTACGATTATTAACATGAAATTGTGATATAAGTATTAACGACACCACCACTCTCCGAGCACCAAAAACACCCCACCACCAAATCAGCCTATCAGCAAGCATGTCTTCAATATTTTTACTAAATATTCTATCAAAGTCTCTCGCACATTTTTGGACCATCTACGGTCCACCTTAGGTACGACTGTCTGCAAATAAAACATGTGTTAGATCTCATCCTTTATTACTCGATAATTATCGATAATAACTGGCGAAATCGTAATAATGGAATCATCTCTTGCCATTATTGCGATGGGAAAATTTTTTATTTTGACGATTTTTCCATTGTCAATTGGATTTCAGGAATTGGCTCACAAGCTATCGAGGAGCTTTGACATGCAGGAGGCGCAATTATTGGAGGATGGATCGACTGCTGGTGGTGCTATTGGTGCCTCTGGTACCGGGGGTCCACCCAGAAGACATCATAGCGCACAAAGACTCGCTAGGAGTGAAATATCGGAGAGAAGAGAGGAGGATGGAGCACTCGTTGTGCCTGATCATCAAGGAAATCTCAGGATCACTGTCAAGAAAACTAAATCGATACTCGGTATTGCTATCGAGGGGGGAGCCAATACCAAGCATCCTTTGCCCAGGATAATTAATATACATGTGAGATTTTTTTTTACATTTCTCATAATTATTCCTCCACCGATTCTCCAGGCCATTCCGAATAGATTCTGTTTGAATACCAATTTTTTTTAGGAAAACAAATGATCGGAATTTTTTCATACTGATTATTATCGAGAGATTTTATTCAAGAGTGTAAACAACATAATTATCATCTCAGGATTGACTTTCAAAATAAAATTCCAACTTTTTTCACGATTTCGATATCCTTGGAAAAATCCGCAATAGAAAATATTAAGAGATTGTTTCCCGGTTATTTTAATTATTATATAAACAAGGACATTTAGAAAATGAGAGGAATGCATAAAGTCTTGTGTTGCTCCTGTGTTTGAAGAGAAAATTGTAGAAGAATATTGGAAAGCGAAGGACTTTAAATGTCAGGAGCTGCATATCTAATGAGTATTTAATTTAAATAAAGGATAATGGAGCCGCTTATGAAGCCGGTGGTCTTGAAGTCGGTCAGCTCATCCTCGAGGTTGACGGGCACAAAGTCGAAGGTAAAAAAATTGATGACAACCTGCGGTTAAATAATATCGGTAAAAATTTTAATAATTAATTTGCAATCTGTTCATTTAATTCAGGACTGCATCATCAGGAAGTAGCACGACTCATAGCTGAATCCTTTGCGAGGCGTGACCGCAATGAGATTGAATTTCTCGTTGTTGAGGCAAAAAAGAGTAATCTGGAGCCAAAGCCAACGGCCCTTATATTCTTGGAGGCGTAGCAGGAATCTCCCACCTCCGAGCCGGAACCACCGTAAAGCACCTTGTGAAAATCGTGAGATCCAACTCCCTTGCATCCATACATTTCCCCCTCCTCCCCTATTTATTCTCTTGATTATTGGTGCTTGATCGAGACCTCAGGGTCATCGTGATCGAGGTACTGCCATGTTTAACCGCAGCTTAAAATTCCTACAAAAAATTCTACAAATACAATAACAATAATCATAAAAAAAAGGGTTTACAAAATGAAAATTGATCAATCCAAAATATTCTCCTTGACAATGAAACGTAAAATTGTGATATGTTTGATACATAATTATTCTAGAATGTTGCGAGATACCGTTACGTGGGGCTAAAATTTATAATGATTTTTTATTTGAAATGTCAATGAAGAATATTATAAAAGTAAACATGAAGTGATTTTTTGAAGGCAAAGCGATAACGACACAGCGAATAATTGTAAACATAATACCTCGACCAATTGACCAATCAATAAACCCCATCACCTCTCATTTTTTGTATCCAACGAATTTCATAATTAATCCGGCGGATGGTGGGAAATTAATTGAAAAAACCGGCTTAAATGGCTTGAATGTACCTCAACGATGCGAGATAATGCAACGTACAGGCGACAGTGGTCATGTTAATCACCCAATGGGCATATGAAAATTAAATCTAAACCAATATCTAAGGGAGAACAAATACCATGAGAAATACCGTCAAAGAATTCCTGGTAATGATAAACTGATAAAGGAGAGTCGCCAATTGTGCCAAAAACACACTCGAGGATTTCTTTAATAAAGAAAGCAAAATGTAAACTTACAGATACACAAACACTTGTTCAAAGTTGAACTGAATGCTTGAAACGTACAGTGTCAACAAAATTAGGATAACTAAACACCTAATTTCGTGTCTCAGTGAAGAGGAAAAATTGTAACGTGCAAATATGGGGGGAAAAAAAAGTTAATAGAAGAAATGTTGACTAATTCATTATCAAAGAAATCAAAGACACGAGCTGGCCTCGACTGTCTCAAATTAGCAATTCCTTGTTTTGTTTCTCTCATTGCGAAAAAAAATCTTGACTCATTTCACGCGCGAAAAAATGATTTAATTCTGAGCATGAATATGAGAAAAATTTATTGGTCGAGCCAACTCGAGTACTTTGACCTGATAACAATAGACTTATTTACGGGAATTGTTGAGGCTTAAAGATTATTATAAATAAATGTATATATACTTGAAGTAAAGAAAGACATTATTAAATTAATTATAATAGGATCGGTTAATTATTAAAGCTTTTCAGCCTTGAGGAGATTTAAAGATCGATTGTGTACTGTAAAAAGTGGGAAGAGGAGGTCTAGTCCACGAGCGAAAATGAATTCAGTACTTCAGAAATCATAAAAAGGAGACAAATATATTTATATTAGCAGGAAATAAAAAATCACAGCAATTACATTAATCATCAAATCAAAATTTAATAAAATCGTGGAAATGTTATCGACATCAGATGCTATTCCTATAATTTATAGAGCTTTGCCTCAATGTGAGAGCAACGGTACTGAGGATTACTTTGGCAGAGTGACCTTCAAGTAAAAAACATCCAGAAACTGTCGTTAACACTTAATGAGAATTACCACTGGTTCTGCGTGACACACCCATTGCCGATCCAATTAGCAAACAGACGGTAATGTGCCAAAGTCATTAAAAAAAAAATGGGAAGAGATTGAATAAAACCGAAGTAGTCTAGTAGGTCGATAGAGCATGAAGAAATAATGTGACAAATAAAATTGGCGTGACAAAACGAGATGAAAATAAAACACCGGTAACTAGGGCATGGGGTCATCAATTACACATAAATAATATCAATCACTTGTTTTTTTTTTTCAATAATTTATTTGTAGCACGCACAAATCGCCTGGAAATTCGCACCAACTTTCCAACAATTTTTAATTGATGAGTAATTATTGAATTCGAACGAGTGAATAAGCACCGGATCGTCATGGGATATCGATTGAACTCTTACCGAGACGAATGAAATTTATACTAAATGAATATTTTTGTAAGCGGCTGTATTAAAGACACTCGCTCAGGCCAGACATTTCAGCTGACATATCCGACAATGCCTTACGCTTTATGTGTTGATGATAAATCGTGCGAAATCCTCACATTTGGGAATAAAATCTGTCTACAGTAAATATTAATAATGACGATATGAAAATGATAATTCAAAGACCATGATTATCAGTTAGAGCAATGATCACCGGATGAGAACAATTTTTCGATCGAATGACGAAAAATTCATTGATTTGTTGTTAGAAAATTCTGTAGATTATTTTAGAGCAATCCTCGGCTGTTGTCTCGTTAACTCGTACCTTACTAGGGGCTAGAACTAGATAAATCTAAACATTAGGAAAAATTATTGTTTAATTAAGTGAAAAAATACCAATGCTCCACCTCCCCTTCCCAAAATCATTCTGTTCAAATCATTTGAATGATAAATCCAAGAGTCCAAGTAAATAGAAAGTTATCAAGACGACGAAATGTGTTATCGGAGCGTCAATAATAAGTTCAATGATCCACTGAATATAAAATTGTGAGAATTCAAATATTTAAGTTGATAAAGTTAACACCGTGTATATAATATATAAATAAATTATACATAAGCGCTCGTTCATACTGCATTTCATAGTCCGGTCGGATATTAAAATAAATATACATAAATTTTTGCAGAGTTTAACGCGTTTATGACATGGGGAGAGTTTTTCGCCGAATTAACGTTTGTTTGTTTAATATGGTTATTTGTTTGTGCGCTGATTGATATTCATTAGATGGAATGTAAAAAAGAAATCATGAATATAAACGTGTAATTGAATTCTAGTTGTGTCGATTCATTTTTTTTCTACACCTGCATTTAATTCAGAGTATATTGTTTCACATGTACCGAGTCAATGTTTTTTCATCGTGAATTATGACCACTTCTTAGAGGACTCCGCTCGTATGTGCACTCCAAAGAATGCAGACAGCGAGAATAAATAAATAATCATTTATCCTTATTTCTAATAATTGAATTCCAAATAAATGATATAAGCAGGTAAAAGAGTTGGTAATTGCGTCTCAAACAGCGATCGTCGTGATAGCAAGACTGAATTATTATTAAATTGATAACCACTTGATCAATCCCATCCAAAATTTTTGTACCGAGAGGTACCCCATTATTACCGCGAATTTGATTTTAATACAAATGGATGATTAAACAAAAAATCAAAATAATTGTTATTCATTTATTTTACATGTTTCAATTCGCAATGAATCCTCCTTACTCATCCGAAGAATAATAATCTTGTCATCAAAACATGATATATGCCCAATATTTTTTATTAACTACATTTACTCTTCTGTACTGTATTTTTTGATAAGTCGATTTGTATGGATTGTGAGAAATGAGAGAAGGAAGTGTTAACCCAGACCTCCAAGAAGTCCGCCTAAAACTCCACCACCTCCAGCCCTTCCACCACCTCCTCCACCTAGAAGACCACCGAGGAGACCACCAACAAGACCATCTCTACCTAGAAGACCTCCCAATAGACCACCAAGAAGATTCCCGACAAGTCCCAGCAGACCGCCTCCATCCTTTGCGCAATTATTCAAAAGGGATGCATTGACATCAACCGATACTAGGGCATCACTTCCACCCCGAGTATCACGTCCACAACCTTTGCTGGAGCGATAATCCCTGCGTACACAACCACCTGAGCCTCCAAGAAGTTGATTCAACGCATCCACAAGAACATTCAGTTGAATTAAATTATTGTTCCTGGCATTAGTACGTGTAGGGGGATAAGTGACTCGATCCAATGCAGACAAAATGGCGTTGACATCGAGAACACTTCCACTTCCGGAATCAGTTGCACGTCTACTTCTTGATTCCAAGAATTCATTGAGTTCACCAACGTGACAATATTTTCTCCCGCCACCTCTCGTGGAAGTTATGTAAGAAATTAGAGCCTCCAGGAGAACGTCAACGCCGATGAGGGGTTTGGTGCCTCCTCCTCGACTGGGTCCAGATTCAGATCCAGAACCACGTCCGGCTATGGCGTTTAGTAATTGTATGATAGCGTTGACAGTTATGAGACTTCCAGGACCGCCGGTACCACCTGTACCACCGGTACCACCAGTACCACCAGGACCACCGGTACCACCAGTACCACCGGTACCACCAGGACTACCAGTACCACCGGTACCACCAGTACCACCAGTACCACCAGTTCCACCAGTACCACCTCGCAATATTGTGTTCAAAAGCTGAATGAGAATCCTGATGGCAATCAGACTATCGGTATTTCCACTGGAGGATGATGGAGTTTTGATACACGCGCGATTACAAATATCCGTCAAGGTACCAGTACTGACTGTACCGGATTGACCACTCCTCAGTAACTGATTGAGAAGACTAACCATCAGGTCGATGTTTACCAGGCTAGGACTTCCAGAAGCAACGACTCTTCCGCCTCCACTGCCACCATCACCTCCAACGCTCCCTCCAGAACCCGAAATTCCACTCAAAACATTGATCAATGCATTGACGTCTATCCCAGGTTCACCATGCGCACTGGTGTTATCAATTGAGCCTACGATAGAAATAAAAAATTATCGAACAGTGAAAGTCTAGACTCTAGAAGATATCGAAAATTGAACCGTTGGGCCTGATTTTTTAATAAAAATTGGAGACTTACCGATTGCACAAAATATTGCAAGGCCTAGAAGCAAGACTGCTCCGAGGCGAGTCATTTCTTCGTTTTTAAATTTTTGAGAACGAGAGAATCGATGACAATGAATTGTTCATGAATTTTCGGTGCATTTTATACTGATGCACAATGGATAAACTAGAATTCCCCTCCTTCAAAATATTTTTTATTGGTGAACATTCGAGCATAAATGACGCATAAATTTTCACCTTAAATCCGTCTGAAATTTTTGGAATGTATTTATTTTGGCTTAAAAGCTTGGCGCATCGGTTATCTACCGTCTGGTGGATAATGCATCGGTTGCACTTCTACAATAAATTTTGGATATTTTTCCTTGTTGCCGAATTCTTATCTATATGGAACCAACCTCTCCCAATTCTCTCAACAAGACAATAAACAATTGGATTATCTAGAAAAATTGTCTGAATAATGTGGATAAATTTAGGACGTGAGTCAGCGGATAAAAAAATTCATGCGGAAAAATTTTCTAAATTGAGAAAATCACATTTGAGGATTAAAAAAATTTTCCAGACACACGTAAACCAGTGGAATACGTCACATGCTTATGGAAGACAAAAATTTCTCTACGAACTTTAGTTTACGTATAAAGACATGAGTTGATTGGGATTTCCCTGACCCGCGAATAATCGCGAATAATCGCGAATAATCGCGAATAATCGCGGAGACGTTGGGGGTATCGAATTGCATTTTTTCTGTCTTAATTTCATGGTATTATTTAAAAAATTGGGTGGAACCAATAAATAAGCCCTTTTGTTTTTAATCTCGGATTAAATCAATGGGCTTAACGCATGTATTTATTCAAACGGATTGTGATCGCTTGTTATTCTTATTCGTGAAGAGGTTGAATATGCCACTTATTGTTTCTAGCAATAAAGAAAAACGGTATGAGACAATGGATCGCAATATTTCAACCTACATGTTGATTTAGTAGAATACTATAAGAAGCGTCCAGATCATTGAACGGTCATTCCAACCGATTCTTTCTCATCCTGAACAATCAGGTCTAGCGCGATGACGCGACCGCCAATTTTAACGCTAATTAGCATTTCAGTCTTCTCTGTAATTGGTAAGTTCATTTTAATTACGATTACTCAGGGAATTTTAATTAATCTGTCAGTGATTTTTATTCAGAAAACACCGAGTCCCGTAAATTCATGATCGCAAAATATTGTGAGATCAGAAAGTTTGAAAAATCTTCCGAACACTCACCGTAATTAATACACATTGCGCAATTATCATTCTGTCAATATTTACTGTATTATAATAATAAATTTGGCGATAAAAAATTTTTTAATCACTATTATAGTATTAATTATCGAATTGTTGGTAATTCGGAATAAAATCGGAATGTGCGACTAAAAATTTTCGTTAATCATCGTGAGATCTTATAAACAAACGGAACTTGCCTTTTATTTTTTCTCATGATAATTTTAATTCTAATAATCATTTTAATCACAGCTTCTACTAGCGGAATAGGTATTCCACTGGGTGGAGTAGGCGGTTTACTTGGTGGAAGTAAACTCGGTGGAGTGGGCGAATTACTCGGTGGAGAAAAACCTGGACCAGTGGGTGGATTACTCAAAGGGGCTAAACCCGGTAAAGTAATAGGCGGATTGCTGAGTAAACCGGGTAAAGTACTTGGTGCACTACCTGGAAAAGATAAGCTAGTTGGAGCAGCAAGTGGATTAATCAAACAACATAAATTACCTGGAGCAGTGGGTGGATTGCTCGGTCAAAAGAGTAAGAAGTTAACCGGAGCAGTCGGTGGATTAATCAACAAACATAAATTACCTGGAGGAATAGGCGGATTGCTCGGGCAAAAGAGTGAGAACCCAGAGGATTGTAAAAAAACTCGTGGCATCAAGCTGGGTGGACGAGTAGGTGGTGATAAACCTGGTAAATTAATAGGCGGATTAACCGGTGGAGTTGAGCCTGGAAAATTAATAGGTGGATTAATCGGTGGGGATAAACCTGGAAAATTAATAGGTGGATTAACCGGTGGAGATAAACCTGGAAAATTAATAGGTGGATTAACCGGTGGAGATAAACCTGGAAAATT